CCACTCATTTGAGTTCCTTGTAGATCCTGGATGTTAGGCCCTAGTCAGATACATAATTAGCACATTTTTTTTTCCACTCTGTGGGTTGTCTCCCGTTCTCTTGATGGTTTCTTTTGCTGTGCAAAACCTTTTCAGTTTGCTAAGATCCCACTTGTCTATCGTAGCTTTAATGTCATTCATTTTTGGGAATTTGGTCAAGAATTGGTTGCTTACTCCTGTATGCATAAGTGTGTCTCCCACATTTTCTTCTGTGATTCTTACAGTTCAAGATTTTATGCTTAGGCCTTTGATCCATTTAGAGGTGATTTTTGTATATTGAGATAGGTGGGGGTCCTATTTCATTCTTCTGCATGTGTTCAGCCAGTTTTCCCGGCACCATTTGCTGAATAAAGTCTCTTCTCTCCAGTGGTTGTAATTGCTGGCTTTGTTGAAGATGAGTTGGTTAAGAGATCATGTTTTTGCTTCCAAAATCTCTGTCCTGTTCCATTGGTCTTTATGTCTGTTCTTATACCAGTACCAGGCTGTTTTGATTATTGTAGCCTTATAGTAAAGTTTCAAGTCTGGAAGTGTGATATCTTCTGCTTTGTTCCTTTTGCTTAGGATTGTTTTGGCTACTCGTGCTCTTTTTTGTTTCCATATGAATTTCTGAATTGTCATTTCAGGTCTGAGAAGAATGATGTTGGTAATTTGATGGGTATTGTGCTGAATCTGTAGACTGCCTTGGGTAGGATAGACATTTTGACAATATTGATTCTTTCAATCCACGAGCAGGGGATTTTTTCCATTTGTTGGTGTCATCTTTGATTTCTTTGAGCAATGTTTCATTGTAGAGGTCTTTGACTTCTCTGGTTAGATAGATGCCAAGGTTTTTCCATTTTTTTGTGGTTATTGTGAATGGGAGTGTGCTTTTATTTGGTTCTCTGCCTGTTTGTTGTTGGTGTATAAAAATGCGACTGTCTTTTGCACATTGATTTCATACCCTGAGACTTTGTCAAAGTCCTTTATAAGTGCAAGGAGATTTTTGACAGATTCCCTTGGGTTTTCCAGGTATAGGATCATATTGTCTGCAAAGAGGGATAGCTTAACTTTCTCTTTACCTATTTGGATTTCCCTGATTTCTTTCTTTTGCCTGAGTGCTCTAGCTGGGACTTCCAACATTATGTTGAATAGGAGTGGTGCATGTGGGCATCCTTGTCTTGTTCCCATTTTCAAGGGAAATGCTTCCAACTTTTGTTCACTGAGCAATATGTTGGCTGTGGGTTTATCATAGATGGCTTTTACTATTTTGAGGAATGTAGCTTCTGTGCCTAGGTGTTCAAGGGTTTGTTATCAAGAAGGCATACTGAATTTTGTCAAAAGGGACTTGTTTTTTTTCATTCAACATTATGTTGCTAAGATTCATCTGTGTGTATGTAGCTAAGGTACATTCCTTCCCACTGCTATATATCCTTTATATTAATATCTATATTTTATTTGTTCCTTTGTTGATGAACATTTTTGCTGGTTCTAGGTGTTTTGTCAGGCATTACAAATAATAACACAGCTTGCCTAGTATTTACTATGTCTCAGATGGTTTTCTAAGTGCTTTACATACATTATCTCACTTAAACTTTAAAGAACTTTGTGAGTTAGGTATTGTTTTATTCTTATTTAACAGATCATATAACAGAAATTATTTTATTTCTATCTAACAGATCATTTTCTTCTTATTTAACAGATCATGTATACTTATTTAATAGATCATGTAACATGGAGGGGTTGATAACATGCCCAAGATATCACAGATATTGAGTAGTTGAAACTGGGATTCAAACCATGTGTTTCTAGTTCTTTAGTCTGCCCTTATGCAGTATATAGTTTTATATTCTGGAAACAGTAACATCTTTGTCCTCATATACCCCTAAATATAAAAAATTCTGCTGGTATGAAAGTGTAGTATATTTTGCAGTTTCATTTTTTACATTTTTAACATTTAGAACAAATTTGAAATCTTTGCTTTATTTGATTTCAGTTTGAAATAAAATGATGTTTGGAATGTACTTTAAACTCTGGCAGTCAAAGTCATCTACTACAATAGCTCATAGTGCATACATCTGGAGATTAGCACCATCTACTGGCAAAGAGAAACAATAACAGTATGTCATAGAATAGTTATTGGAAGACAGTGTGCACACACTTTCATGGAATTTTTCATTTTAAAAAACTGTTTCTGGGAAATAAATATTTTATAGTTTTTCTGTGTATTGACTTTTGTGTCCCAGCATATCTTCCTTAAAATTTCAAGTATCAACTATATATTTCACATTTATATAACATTTATATTACATTTAGGTTAAGAAAAGGTATAGTGTTACAGGTCTCATTCTGTTTGTGAGTCTTTTTCAAAGCGTGTGTGTGTGTGTGTGTGTGTGTGTATGTGTGTATGTATACACACAATTACTAGTTTGCTAGAGTAATGACAGAAAGAGCAAAGCTGTCATATTGGGCTAGCATGAACTATATATAGTTTATTGTTGTGTTTTGGCTTTGGTAAGTGATATCGTCTTTGATAGAGCAATGTAGCTGATAGTTGAGTGAAAATGGCATTTTCAGTGACTAACCGTGGAAGGCTTCTCTCTCAGCTCTTGGTATTAACCTAAATTGTACTTGTATCTTTTCTTAAGCTGGTTTACATTCATTTGTTAGTGGCCTAGGATCTTGTTTGTATTCTGTTTTAGAATTTTTTCTTTTGTCATTGTTTTCTCTCCATTAACTTAGCCTATGCGAGTTAAATGTATGAGAAATCAGTTGATGTCTTCTTCACTTCTTTTTTCTTTTTCTGATATCTTTTTGTTGGGCACTTTACAACTTAAAAGTACCTCAGACTTGATTATTTTAGCTAAAGGTGAAATAATGTTTACAGAAGGAAGGACATGGTGATTATGTAGTAAGTGTTGGTTGAGTGATTCGCTAAAGAATCTTAAAAGCTAATTTGTGTTATAGAGTAGGAATGGTTGTTTAGGGAGTAATTGGTCTGATATGTTTATTTGAAAGTCTACTAAGCACAATGAACAATTATTCTTTTGCCCTGTAGCTATTAAACATTCATATGAGAACTTTTTTGTTTAAAATGTTAGCTTATTGCAGGTCTACTTTGAGAAATATCTGATTAAATAGACTAAGTAATTATTTATAAAGGAATAGCAATAATTACAAATTTTATTCCATATGCCATAATGTCACATAGTTGAATATAAAAGGTGCAAGATTACTGTTGTAATAGTGTAACTTTTAAACTCATGTTAAAGATAGGCTTAGTGTAGAGAATGAAAATGGGGTCATTTATAATATTGCTTTTATTATTTCTTTGTTTGCATATTTTATTTTGGAGTATTAATTACTGTTAGAATGAAAACAAATCCCTTTCTTAATCTCATATACGGTAGATTAAGTACCAAAGTACTTTTATTTTAGTAAAAATATACTTAAAAATTAAATAAGTATATATAGTATTTTTCCTCTCGTTACCTAACCAACTTCCTGGAAATCAGTTCTGTATTCAGGGAGAGAAGTGTACAGAGACTTTCAAATATTATATGAATGCGTAACATTTTAAAAATCATATGAGTGGCTTTCAAAAATCATTTTATTGTTCTTAGATACTTTATTTTTCTCTCAAACTCTCTAATTATCAACTTCTTATTTGACTTACTGTATTTTATATTTTATCTCCAGATTGACTGCTAATAAATTATTTAATTCAGGGCTACTTTTTATTATGCTGAGTTTTAGGTTGGGGGTTAACAAGATGAGTCATCTGACAACTATTATAGTGTATTATGAACATTATAGCCTTTATTTCATCTTATAAAGAAAAATGTATAAGGAGCTATTTTGAAGCATAGGAACCAATTAGTTTAGTTATACAGAGCCATCAGAATGTAGCCTGAACTGAGGAGATTAAATAAAACAAGACCCCCATGGTCATCAGTGAATATGGTAATATTTGAGCTGGACCTTGAAGAATAGGAAGGAATTGGTAAGTGGAGATGAAGTAGAAAGAGAGCTTTAGGCTGAACAAACCGTGGTATCTTGTATTCAGTCTCTGAGGCGATATTTTGGCAAAACATTTTATATTCCATGAACATTCAAGAATTCTGACTTTATGAATCATGAATTACAATAAGATTAATAGGTTCTTTTAAAAGAGATATGATACTCCTTTTGTGACATGTCTTCTATATCACCCCATTTGAAAGAAGATATATTCTGCTTTATGAACAAAATTGTCTGCCATTTTAGTAAAGGAGAGGAAAAAAGTATGTTTTCCAATAGGTACTACTGCTCAAATGACGTTCATGAAAATAATTTACCAGAGGGGTGAATTATTCTTAAGCTAATCACAATTTTATTTAGTTAAAATTTAAGCTTAGTCAACTAAATTAAAGAACAAGTTGTTTTTTTTTTTTTGGCTGTATGAAAATACATTTTTCCTTAACAGAAAATCTGCTTCCTTGCAATCGGTCACCTATCCTTGTATAGATTTCAGTTTATGTTCTGCACAAAGGGGCACAGGTGAAGGTGTTAGTGGTGGTTGAAATGCAGCCATTCATTGTTCAGTTATTAGAGACCCTTTTCTCGAATTCATTTTCCCGGAGAACAAAGACACTGTGTAGCTAGAGGAGTTTCTATAATGATTATCTGTAAAAGATTATAAATTTGCTTGTTAGTGAGTCAGCACTTAACTTCTAGAACAGTAGGGGCACAAATTAGGAACTCAGTAAATATTTTGTATATCTCTAAGGTATTCAGAAGTCTAAAATTTGCATTCTTCTCTGATCATGACTTTTTGGCAGATTATACGTATTTCATGCAATTTTCAAAATTGACTTTCTACCCAAGCTATGTTTTTATTGAATTCAGGTTCAGTTTTGCCAAATTATTATTGCCGATAGGTTGGATTTTTATTTCTGTACTTATGATTCCATTCATATATTAAAATATCAACATTTTAATTTCAGGTACCTTATATTTTTTTGCCCTCATGACCTAGTTTCCCAGGTCTATTCATATCTACCTATAAAACTCCTGGCTGCTGGAATGAAGGAAGTGACCAGAACTTGGAAAATAGTAGGTGGAGTCACACATGCTAATAACTACTACCACAATGGCTGGATAATTATGATAGCTATTGGATGGGCCCGAGGTAATATTAACGATATACATTCATAAATATTCTGTTATTGGTATATCACAACTACTGAACAATTTTCTAGTTAGTTACATTGATGGGGAACAAATACTTTTTTGGGGGGGATCATATACTTTAATAACAGTCTTTTTGGAAGGTGGAAACCTTGTTTCTGTTAGCTAGTAAAATTAATTAAAAGCTAGTACTTTTGCCGGGCTCGTAATCCCATGCTTTGGGAGGCTGAGGTGAGTGGATTGCCTGAGCCCACACATTCGAGACCTGCCTGGGCAACTTGGCAAGACCTCATCTCTACAATGAATCAAAAAAGTAGCCGGATGTGGTAGCGCGCACCTGTAGTTTCAGCTACTTGGAAGGCTGAGGTGGAAGGATTGCAGGAGCCCAGCAGATTGAGGCTGCGGTGGCCGGGAGTGGCCACTGCATTCCAGTCTGGGCGACAGAGTGAGATTCCAACTAAAAAAAAAACAAAAAACCAAAAAAACCCGAGTACTTTCCATTAGTACTAGTTATTGGCCATTGTTATGAGCCTAACTGTCTTATGATATAAAATTTTTATCAATGTTTTGATTAGGAGCTCCAGAATCAGAGGGATTTATAGTTAATTAAGATATAGTACCACCATAAATAAGACATTTACATAAGAAATTATTTGGTACAGGCAAATAAAAAACACTGGTTCTCTGTCTTCTGTGTTTTTTCCCATTTTGAGTTACTAGAAATTGTAAATATGTTTGATTATAGGTTCATATTGACTTTGTATCACTTGCCTTTAGTGTTGTTTTATAGATAGGAATTGAAAAAATTTTTTCTAACCTCCTGTTATAGTGTACTACACCTAAAACCAATTATATCAGGAAAGGAAATGATAAAGCAGAAACCTCTAGCTGTATCTTTGTGCCTAAGACCCCAATTAACCTTAATTACAGTATAATAGATAGTTTCCATGCTGGTGAAAGAGAAGAATTGTAATTGTTTTAGCACTCTAGAAACACAAGGCAATTTTTTTCTTCCTCACAGAATTATATTTTGGGAATCTTCTTGGAATTTTATATTAGGTGATAAAATTGTTGCTCATCTTGAATATTTTTTCAAGAAAATTTAGTTAAATATTCTTGTTTTATTTTATTTTTAGGTGCAGGTGGAACCATTATCACAAATTTTGAGAGGTTTATAAAAGGAGAATGGAAACCAGAAGGTGATAAATGCCTGAAGCTGTCCTAGTAAGTTGGTATACATTATACTGAGACTTCTTACCAAATTTCTTTTCAAGAACATGTTGAGGACTTTAAATGTGGATGAAATATAGCTGAAAAATAAATAGTAACAATAATGGGTAGAAATTAGCAAATTTTATTCTTTCAAAAAGACTGCTCCCTCAAATGTAGTTTAAAACAAAAATTGATTTCCTTCTTTGTGGGCTCCTCCCCTTAGAAAACAAAACCAAACAAAAACCTCTAGATTATCACAGAATTGTGGAAAGAGTATGTATTTATGAAGCGAGAACTACATAGGAACAGGCTTCTCTGGATGGGAATGAATCAATGACAGGCTCTTGGCATTTTCATTAATAATGACATCACCCAGATTGCAGATTATACATAGTTCTGGTAATAAAGTGTCAAATTATGGGACCAAATCAATGCATTGTCATAAAGCCCTGTGTGTTGTTTTTAAAAAATGCTTTAAATGTGAATGAAATATAGCTTAATGCCATATCAAAATAAGAATAAATTTAGAGAAATAACCCATTGAATGATGCAAACTGCCTTTTGCATTTAAGGGAATCTAATTGTTAGCTATTCTCTAAAGACACTAACCCAATCTTAAATAAGCCACAGATACAGTTCTGATGCACATAAAATAAAATAGAGAATATAGTTACTTCTCATATAATTCAAGAAGGAAGACACCTAGAAAATGGTGGAATAAGCAAGGTGAGAAAAGACTTCATGTAAAAAGAAACTCAGACAGGCAAGATGGTGACAGTACTGGTTGGAGTGTGAGAGTCTCTGCAAAAGTGAGTGTCTATAAAGACTATCTGCATGAATGAATGTGTTCTTGTGGTGAGTGAAAGTCTGTCTGAGGGGAGACTGGTTCAAGCACCCATGGCTGTCCTCTGGAGGTGACTACAATCCACCATCCCCCTGAGATTGGATACCCTGGCATGCAGGAGTGTTTGTCAGTCTCAGGGGTCTATTGGGTGGAGGCAGCAGAGATCAGCTGCTCCTTAGCAACTGGCACCTGGCCCATGCCACCACCTGCAGCAACAAGCTGGGCACTAGCAGCAGGAGCCACGGAGAAGGCACAGTGAGGAAATTGGGAACTGAGTCCTGCCGCCAGTGAGGAAATACTGACACCATTTTGTCTGCCGGGATGGGCAGTCACCTGTGTTGCCCTGCCCTGCTGTGTCCAGCCTCCAACCTGAGACCCAGAGGCTATCTCCACCCTTTTGGGATTGACCATCGGACATGGAGAGACAGACTCCACTTCCCTACACTGGACCAGGCACAGACACATCTAGTCTGAGTAGGAGACTTGGCAGCAGCAGCAGACAAGTCTGGTGAGTCTGGATCTGATTCACCCTCCTTCCACAGCAGTCCACAGGGCATCTGACCCATGCTGAGAGCAGCCCAATCCCCCAGAGGGGATGGGCTAGAGATTGGAGCTGCTTCCTGATGTGATGGCAGCCAAAAGTGGTGGCAGTGCTTGGGAAAGGAACCTGAAGTTCCAGAAATGGCCACAGAGGGACCTCTTTTTTTCTGTTTTTATTTACATTTTTTACTTGTTTTGTTTTTGTTATTGTTGATTTTTAAATTTTCTGTTTGCGAATGATTATTTTTGAGGGTGAGTACATCAACAGGGATTTTTTGTTTGTATGATTGTTTGTATGTTTTTGGTTACTTCATTTTTTTCTGTTTTTGTTTGATTCTTTGTATATTCATTAGTTGGTGTCCCTGTCTGTTTTCTCTCTTTTTTTCTCACTTCACTTTCCTTTCGTCTCCCTCTTTCCTTTTTCCATTCTTTTTCTTTTTCTTATCTCATTTTGCTTTCAGGGGGCATACATACACCCCCACTGCATGGACAGAATGTAAGGTGGTGGGAAGTGGGTTCCAAAGGGCCTACACACCTCTCATTGGATACTGTGATCTGCAGATAGCTTCTGAACCACAGCTCTCCCCTTAATCAAATCTCAAAAACTGCAAAAAGCACAGTCCCACAACCCCAGTCCAGCTTCAAAATTGAAAAAATCCAGAGGATAGACATAAGGAAGAATAGGGGGTTGAGCAAACAGAATTGAAAGTGATTTCCCCATCACTGAACAGCAGTATTAAATAAGGGAGGAAATGGGAGAGGAAAACCTTCACAAATGGAGAAGAACCAACAGAAGAACACAGGCCCCATACAGACTCCTGGGAAGATAGCAACTAAGAATACAGACTTCAGAACTCAAACAATGAAGAGCCCCCAGAACAACCAATCTCAATCCACAAACCCAGATATCAAGATATTAATAGAGAGAATAAATAGAAATGAGGAGAGACAAAAGGGAAGAATGAAGGAGTTGATAACTGAGATCATGGCAATAAAGAATACAATGAACGAAATAAATAGCAAACTGATAAGCATGAAAAGCAGAATTAAACAAGCAGAAGAAAGAATCTCAGAGCTTGAGGACAAAAATATGGAACTAATCCAAACTTAAAAACATGGAAAAGAAGCTTTAAAAGACAGAACAAAGCTTCTAAGAGATGTGTGATTATATCAAGAGGCTGAACCTAAGATTAATTGGACTCCCTGAGTCAGATAGAGTGACAGAAGCCACCCTGGAACAAACTTTCCATGAGATTATCTAAGAAAACTTCTCTCATCTCATCAGAGATGTGACCATTCAAACACGAGATTCAGAGAACCCCTGCAAGACATAAAATGAGAAGACCAACTCCTAGACACATAGTAATTCGCTTACACAAAGTAAGTAAAAAAGAAAAATCTTAAAGGCAGCAAGAGAAAAAGGTCAGACTTCTTACCAGGGAAGACCAATTAGAATAGCAACAGACTTATCTGCAGAAACACTACAGACTAGAAGAGACTGGAGTCCAGTTTTCAAAGTTCTCAAAGATAAACAATTTCAACCAAGAATTACCTACCCAGCTAAGCTAAGCTTAATCAGCTGTGAGAATTAAAATCCATCCCAAGCCGGGCTCAGTGGCTCAGCCTGTAATCCCGCACTTTGGGAGGCTGAGGTGAGTAGATTGCCTGAGTCCGCGGGTTCAAGACCCACCTGGGCAACTTTGCGAGACCCCATCTCTACAGTAAATCAAAAAATTAGCTGGGCGTGGTAGTGCACACCTGTAGTTCCAACTCCTTGGAAGGCTGAGGCGGAAGGATCGTTGGAGCCCAGCAGGTTGAGGCTGCGGTGGCTGGGAGTGGCCACTGTACTCCAGTCTGGGTGACAGAGTGAGACTCCAACTCAAAAAAAAAAAAAAAATCCATCCCAGGCATTTAATCCCTAAGAGTTTACACCTCCTCCAGACTAAGAAACACTTAAAAAAGTATTAAACACAGAAGAAAGGAGAAAAAAAGACCACGCCCTTTCTAAGAATGCAGGAAAAAGATTGAAAACACACATAAGTCAACCCAAAAATCAAAAGAAAGCCAACACAAATAAACAACAACAACAAACTCTTATAAGAACCTTATGACAGGGATAAACCCTTGCATCTCAAGAATTAGCCTGAATATGAATGAACTACTACTGAAAAGACATAGAATGGCAAAGTGAATAAAAATTCATGATGCGACAATATACTGTCTCCAGGAGACTCATCTCACCAGAAAGGACACTTACAGACTCAAGAGGATGGAAAACAAATTTACAGGTGAATGGAACACACAAAAAAGCAGGAGTTGCAATCTTAATATCAAACAAAACATCCTTTAAGTTATAAAAAATTTAAAAAGATATTGAAGGTCACTACATAATGATAAAAGGGTCAATCCATCAACAAGAAATATCCATCCTAAACATATATGCATTCAACGTAGCACCAACTTTTATAAAGCAGCTTCTAGGTAAGCTAAAAAAAGATACCGTCTCTAACACAATCATAGCTGAGGATTTAAATACCCTGCTGACAGCCCTAGACAGATCATTAGGGTGAAAAAACCAACAAGGAGATCTGAAACTTCAACTTGATGCTTGACCAAAGACACTTAATAGATACCTACAGAACACTCCATCCAACAACTGTGGTATATACATTCTACTCATCACCTCATGGAATGTGTTCTAAGATTGACTACATCGTTGGCCTTACATCAAGCATAAACACATTTCATAAGATTGAAATTATGCCATGAACCTTCTCAGACCACAGTGGAATACAAATAAATATCAACACCAACAAAGTTCCCCCAAAACCCACAAAGACATGGACCCTAAATAGCATGGTGCTGACCAACTTCTGGGTCAACACAGAAATCGAAACAGAAATTAAAAGATTCCTGGAAACAAATGAAAATGAAAAAATATCTTACCAAAATCTCTGTAATGCCATGAAAACAGTACTAAGAAGGAAATTCATATCTCTGCGAACACACATGAACAAACTGGAAAGATCACAAGTTAACAGCTTAACAAATCACCTAAAGTAGCTGGAAAAGCAAGACCACCAAGATACTAACTTCAGCAGAAGAATTCAGATCACCAAAATATGGGACATAGAAGACAAAAACAGAAAAAAATCAGTGAAACAAAAAGCTGGTTCTTTGAAAGGTTAAACAGGAGTCATGGATCTCTCCTAGCCAGAATGACCAAGAAAAAGAGAGAAAAAGCCCAAATAAACAAATCAGAAATGCAAAAGATAAAGTCACAACTGACCTTGAAGAAATTACAAAAGACTGTCAGAGATTATTATGTATGCTTTTATGGAAACTCAAAAACCTAAAGGGGAGACTTTCTGACATTACACAACCTCCCAAGGTTGAAAAAAGAAGAAATTGAGACCCTAAATAGACCAATAACAACTGAGGAAATTGACTTCATCGTAAGAAAACTACCATTAAAAAAAAAAAAAAAATCCCTGGACCAGATGTCTTTCCACCAGAATTTTACAAAACATAAAAGGAGGAACTGATACCAATCCTACTGAAAGTATTCCAGGCAATTGAGAAAGAAGACCCAAATCATTTTATGAAGCTAACACCAAACTGGGTAAAGA